CCTCTGGATGTCTGGAGTTTTGATCTCCTCCATACCTGCTTCACGCCCTGGAGGACGGGGCTGTGGCCCCCCCACACCCTCTAGCAGATTATTACATGAAGGAACCTTTTAAAAAACAAAAAACAAGCGCGTCCATGCTCACAGGTGTACACACGGGTGATCACACCCACAAACTACACCCTTTTTGGCTCCTACCTCAAAGCACACTGTGTTCTGTTGATCTTATGTGCTGCACAATAATGTTTAACATTTAGTCTTTACTGTCATATTCCCATATATCATTGTGATGTTGTTTATTCTATTACTCTTGTTCTCTTCTGCTTGCTTTCTTTTTTCTTTCTCAGCAGGTGATCCAGGTGATTGATATATGCATTTTTTTTCCTCTGCCCGTTCTGTTGGTTTTTGTCTTTTGCCCTTCTCCCCCGTCCCTCTTCTCAGCTGTTTCTCTTCCCCTCTTTCTTTCTCCCCTTCTTTCCCCCAGTCAAGTCTGTCCCGTATTCAGTAAGTGAAAATAAAATAAACAATAAAAGGTGAATCAAATGGACCATTACGGCAAGGCTGGGATGGTCAGTTTGGTAAAGTAAATCCGTTGGGCATCTTTCTTTGCCTTTAGACAACAATTCTGATGCAAAAGAGCCAAACGGGACAGGCCAAAAAAAAAAAAAAAAAAAAAAAGGAGATATGACGATTTGAAAATGCCTTCAGTTTCAGTATTTCAGCTCTGAGTTTCACAACATCCCCATAGACTTTGAATGGGGAGTTTTTAGACCTTGTGTCACTTCAAGGCAAATTGTGAAAAAACCGTAACTCGCACAATAATTATAGTGACACGGTCTTAAAGCCAGAAAAAATACCTACGTTTTGATGTATAATTTGTGGGGCTTGAGTGGAAATTGAACGAGTAGCAAGAAGTTGTTCAGACATGAAGAGAAAATTCAGAACGCACCAGTACTCACTGTGAGTTAATTGCATAGCAACCATAGCAACGCATGTATTTTCTGAAAAATCACAAAACTGCAACTGAAAACTTAAAGAGGCATTAAATGAAAACGGTAACAGATATGAAAAAGCTGAATCACACAGGAATAGCCAATCATTTGAGAACATTTTAAAGTTTGAATGGAGTTTCTAGGTGAAAGTATGAGGAAGTAGTTAAGTTTCAAAGACAAGCAAGTTTTAGCAGAATTGTGGAAGTTTTCCATTCATTTCAATGGGACAAAAAAAAGGAAAAAAGTGTAATATTTTAAAAAGTATAATAGTAATAAACACCAAAAGAGATAGCTGGAATAAGCAGAAATAGCAGAACAGTTTAGAGTTTGAACGGAGAAAATCGGCTGAAAACCGAGGGAGTAATTAAGTGCCGAAAAACGCAGAGCAACTATAAGAATAAAGTTTAAAGAGAAACAGGAACTCAATTGTGTGGATGCCCTGTGAGGGCATCCACACAATTACTTCGCGTAATCAAGATGAGAGACCACGGCTATAAAAGCGAAGGTGGATTTGGGAAGCCTGTCGCAGCCATGTCCTGTCCGTATACGCGAGCCACCCATTGCGGAAGGTGCAAGATTGATAAGGAGAGTCCTCAGAATTCAGCGTATATTGCGGGATAGACAGGATCCTTTAGCTCAGCGCGACAGTGTGCTCATAGAGAGATATCGATTTTCCCGTGAGGGTATTATTCACTTAACCAACTTGTTGACGAGGGGTGCATTGTGGCAATAGTAGCATTGTAAAGCGCTTTGGGTGCCTTGAAAAGCGCTATATAAATCCAATCCATTATTATTATTATTATTAAATTACTTATGAGTTTAATTTGTCAGCAACTTTCTGCCAGCCCTCTCTCCTTGCTTTTGCAGCCTTTGCAGTGTTCCCTTGCGTTTAAACTCTGAAACTCCTGAAATCCCTCAATCAAGAGTTCTTGCTCTGCTGCCGAAAAATACCGAGCGCGCTCCTTCGACATTTTCGACGACCAATTAAAGGGTTGCTGATCAATGTTTCTACTATCGATGCGTAGGCCCTTTTAAGCCACCCAGTGATCTCACATTACTTCATCCAGCTGTACTAATCGTCAACAACAGGTGTGTTCGGAGAACCGGATTAGCGAGCTCAAAGTTGGCGCGATGATTTGATCTTGGATGTAGTAAGCGAGGTACGAAGAACGGGCCCCTGGCTGAATTACATCATGTTGCAATCACAGAACAGAATTATCACATCAGGTGTAAGACAAAAATATCTAACTTCTGCTGCACAATTTCAAATTCTCTCTAAGTGACACTTCGCCATGTTGGTGCAGAGCCCACAATATGGTGGGAGAGGGAATACAGTCTGCAAATATACTGGGTGTGTTTCTACACTGATTAAGGATGTTAATGAGCACATCTGGACTCACCGAGCCTTTCTGCAGTTCCTCACAGCTGGAATCAGTCTCAGTCGTCCGTCCTCTGATGTGTTGTACTTCTGCAGGTCCAACTCATCCAGAACCTCCTCTGACATCTGCAGCATGAAGGCCAGAGCTGAGCAGTGGATCTCAGAGAGTCTCTTTGATCTGTTCTCTGACTTCAGGAACTCTTGGATCTCCTGATGTACTGAGAGGTCGTTCATCTCCATCAGACAGTGGAAGATGTTGATGCTTCTGTCAGGAGAGATTTTAACACTGTTCATCTTCTTCAGGTTGTTGATGACTCTCTGGATGGTTCCTGGACTGTTCTCTGTCTGACCCAGCAGACCTTCTAAGAGTCTCTGGTTGGATTCCAGACAGAGGCCATGAAGGAAGCGGACAAACAGGTCCAGGTGGCCATTTTTACTCTGGAGAGATCTCAACATACTTTTTGACAGAAACTCATGAAGCGATGTGATGTCATTCCAGATATCCAGAAAATCCCTCAGCACCTTTGTCTTCCTGCTGGTGAAACAGTGGAACATGTAGACTGCAGCCAGAAACTCCTGAATGCTCAGATGAACAAAGCAGTAGACTGGTTTCTGGAAGATCACACAGTCTCTTTTGAAGATCTCTGTACAAACTCCTGAGTACACCGAGGCCTCTGTCACATCCAGGCCACACTGCTCCAGGTCTTCTTGGTAGAACATGATGTTTCCTTTCTCCAGATGTTCAAACGCCAGCATCCCCAGCTTCAGAAGAACTTCCCTGTCAGCCTCCGTCAGCTCCTGTGGACTCGTCTCATGTCCCTCATGGTACTTGTTCTTCTTCCTCTTTGTCTGAACCAGCAGGAAGTGTGAGTACATGTCAGTCAGGGTCTTGGGCAGCTCTCCTCTCTGCTCTGTAGTCAACATGTGCTCCAGAACTGTAGCAGTGATCCAGCAGAAGACTGGGATGCTACACATGATGTGGAGGCTCCTGGATGTCTTCATGTGGGAGATGATTCTGCTGGACAGCTCTTCATCACTGAATTTCCTCCTGAAGTACTCCTCCTTCTGGGCGTCAGTGAAGCCTCGTACTTCTGTTAGCCTGTCAACACATGTAGGAGGGATCTGATTGGCTGCTGCGGGTCGGGAAGTTATCCAGACGAGAGCCGAGGGAAGCAGATTCCCGTGGATGAGGTTTGTCAGCAGCTGGCTGACTGATGACTTCTGTGTGACATCAGACAGCAGCTTCCTGTTGGTGAAATCCAATGAAAGTCTGCTTTCATCCAGGCCGTCAAAGATGAACAAAAGCTGAGAGACAGCCAGCTTCTCTGCTGTGACCTTCTGTAATGTTGGATGGAAAACATGGAGCAGCTCCAGAAGACTGTACTGCTCATCTCTGATCAGGTTCAGCTCCCTGAATGAAAGCAGAACCACCACACTGACATGTTGGTTCTCCAAGCCCTCTGCCCAGTCCAGAGTGAACTTCTGCACTGAGAAGGTTTTTCCAACACCAGCCACGCCGTTGGTCAGAACCACTCTGATGGGTCTCTGTTGGTCAGGTAAGGCTTTAAAGATGTCCTGGCACCTGATTGGAGCGTCATGGAGGGCGTCCATCTTGGAAGCTGTCTCCAGCTGCCTCACCTCATGTTGGGTATGAACCTCTTCACTCTGTCCCTCTGTGATGTAGAGCTCAGTGTAGATCCTGTTGAGGAGGGTTCTACTTCCTGTTGCATCACTTCCTTCAGTCACACGTTCACATCTTCTCCTCAGACTGATCTTATGTTCATCTAAAACCTCCTGCAGACCAACATCTGCTGAAAGAAAGAAAAACAGAAAGAAAACTCTTCAATGTCTGAACAACAACAAGAAGTCCAGTTTTCAGAAATGGGTCCATCAGCAGACAGATGTTCAGTCTTACTTTGTACACAGCTGCTCTGACTGGCTGTCTGCAGTCCAGCTCTGGATCTTTCTCCACACTGGGGACAGGACCAGTCTCCTGATGAAGCAGACTGGTCCCAGTATGAGGAGATGCACTGTCTGCAGAACCAGTGTCCACAGCTGGTAGAGACTGGATCCTTCAGGATGTACTGACACAAAGCACAGCAGGACAGCTGCTCCTCCTCACAGACACCGCTCCTCTTCCTCTTCCTCCCTCTGTGAACACATTTCTTTATCACTAAAATCATCGACTGTCAGTGACAAACATGCAGATTTGATGACACTGTGCAGAAGCTCTGATGGTCACAGAGAAAAGTCAAAGTGGAGAAACTTGTGTTTGAAAAAGTGTTTTGTCTCAGGTAAACCAGGACCATCACAGGTGACCCCGCACACCAGCTGATTGACCTGGTCAGTGTCTCAGGTCAATCAGGTCTCACACCTCCAGACTCACTCCCTGCCCACCCACCATGGGCCAAGTGACCCTCATCACTCAGGCTCTATTCAGACCAAGTCCTTTCACCCCTCCAAGCACGCTGGAATCTGTTCTCTAACTTGTGCCTTTCTGTTGTCTGGTTTCATTCTCCCCTCACACACAGACAGTTTAAAGGTCGCACTCATGGATCGTCGTGTAAATGATTCACTGAACAAGACGGACTCCATCAGTCCATGCTACAGAAGAAACTGCTTCTTACTTTGAGGGTTCAGGATCACTGCTGAAACATGGAGGTTCTTCATGACTCCTCATGGACAGATAGCATGTTACTGGAGACTGTGACCTCTGACCTCTGCAAACACACACACGTTTTCATTTGTATCGCTCTAACAACAGTCAAACGACCTCCTGCAGTAAAGTGAAAATAATAAAAACCTGATCTGCACTGTTTGTCCACACGAGTATTTTCCTACTGTTCTGGGTGACGCTACACAAGGAGGCCTCCCGATTTTCCCAGTCACAGCAAACACCACACACTCAGGCTTCACCTGAGGACCTTACCTGATTCTGTTTCCTGCAGCTGGTGAGTGAATACATACTGTTCGCCTGATGTGTGTCTGGTTTGGTGACATGTGTAAGTGTGCCTGACATTTCAAAGTAAAAGTATTTAGTAGTCAGTGTGAACAAACAGCTACACTAACAGGATCCATGTGACGTCACAGGTATATCAGCTGTTACAGTCGTCATTACCCAGCGCACTCTTACTTTGGAGGCTCAGGGTCACTGTTGAAACACGGAGGCTCTTCTTGGGACCACCTGCTCCCCTCTGCTCCCTCCTCCTCTTCCTCCATCACCGTCTTCACTCTGAGAGGAGAGAGTAAAGTGATCCCAGGCTATCAGCTCTGCACCCACGGGTGTTGTGCCTGACTCTTCCCTCCACGGCCCACGGGATGATGATTATGTTGTAACAATGCGCGTAATTAAATTTCGCGCGTGTAGACCTCGACAGCCGCGCGCACAAAGAAGCCCTCGTGCACCCGCGAACGTCTGCTTTGCTTTCCACGCGCTGCTGCAGCGTCGCGCTCCCTGCGCTCGGAGAGAAATCCCGCTCGTGTAAATAAAGTTGGCAGTTTGGAGGCGGACCCCCGTAGTGCTAATGTGATTGGTCACTTTGATGGACACTTCAGGTTCCTGCGTTAAACCGAGTTACACTGTTTTCAACGGCATTTATTTTAAACGTGAAGAATAAAGTTCGCTGAATGAATTATAGTGATGGTGAGATGAAGCCTCATGATGAACTGAAGCTTTCCATCCAATTGGTCGACTCATGGTTCGAAGCATTGTGATGATTCATTTGCTCTACTGCGCCATCAAGTGGACAATTCAAGTGAAGCGGGCTCTTTGATTATAATGATGTGTAAACCTTATGTACATCTGGATAATGACACAAACTAGTGTTTGGTGCTTCACTTTTTAATAAACTAAAAGACAGAAATCAGATTATAGGATGTGTAGTGTTGTTTATTTATATTTTGGTGTTTATCATTTGTGATATTTATTACTGTGTGCATACTTTATTAGGAGAGACAAAATTAAAAAAAAAAAAACATCTCTTCCTTGCTGGTTCCATCGAAGAAGAAATGCACAAGTAACCATGTAGCACGTACGTAATCCAATTCCACAACACGGTGTGATGGGGAATCAGCTGTTTTCCTGCCCATGTTATTTCGAATCTGGCGCGAACCGGTGAACCAGTCCCTGAATCAGTCACGTGGTACGGACTGCCCGCGAGGCCTCGAACGTCACTGCATACGTAATCAAAGCAAGCCTCGATACGCGCTTCAGAAAAACGCCCCCGCGATTACCCGACGCACGATTCGAAGCTTCGACACACAGGACACATCACTAATGAATTATTGACAGTGACTGTTTGCTGTGCGGTGACCGCTGTCATTGGATTACTTCATGTTAATGATTCTACTGAAGCGTCTGCACTGACGTGCGCGCGGCTGCCGAGTTCTGCGCGCGCTAAACTTAGTTGCGCACGTGAACTGATTTGCTCTGATTATTTTCTTGCTCGCGCATTTGTCATGACATATCAATCAAGTAGATACTCTTACAGGAGGTCAGTTTGGGGTCACCATCCAGCCTCTGCGTCGGATCCACGTCGTCCTGATGATTCCGGGGTCTGAACTGACCGCCAACAGGTCACGTGATCCGGCTTCCTCTTCTTCCTCTTTGGAATAAGGTCGATTATCGAGATGTGGGCGTGCTACTGCTCCCCACCGGTAAACAGAATAAATGCTGACAGTAACGGAGACACCAATCTAAACGTTTCCATCCCGACGAGGACGCAGATCCGGCTAAAGTGGTTTTATTGATGTTTGTTTCTTGTCTCATTAATCGAAGGTTCATCTGAGAGACAAACTGATCTTTAGCTCTGTGAGATGAAACAGAAGCTTAGGGGCCATTTATTAATTAAAGTTTTTTATTATTTTGAACAATTAAGAAAACCATAACATAACAACCCAAAACAACAAAAAAACCACACTCAGTGAAGAAAATTAAATAAATATATAAAGATAATATAAATAAATAAAATAAATAAATAAATAGATAAACTGTTGCACACACAGTTAATTCTTAATTCATACTGTATCTCACATTGTCTTCATGTTGTAGGCCCATATCAACAAAAAAAACAGTCCCATTGTTCTGTTAGAGTCTCTGTCTTACTGCTCAGTCTTCCCAGCATTTTCTCACATGCAGCATTTTCAGTCATTTTCCACTTTTTTAGGGTTGGAGTCCGAGGGTCTTTCCAAAGTGCTAAAATGAGACGAGCACATGTCACAATCCCAGTGCTTAACACTCTAAAGCCTGCTTTGTCTAACTTTGGCACCTCACCTCTGTCCCCCAATAGGCACAGTCTTGGTGATCTAGGTAATTTAACCCTCCATATATTTTAAAACATTTTCCCATATTGGGGAGACCAGTGGACATTCCCATAAAGCATGTACTAACGAACCTTTTCCTTCTTGGCACTTCCAGCACAGGTCGTCTTTACTGGTTCCCATTTTATGAAGTCTCGTTGGTGTATAATAGTACCTATTGAGAATTTTATATTGAATACATTTGCCTCTAGCTTCCCTAATGTAGAACCCATTTTCAGAAATAATTGAATCCCATGTTCCCTCATCGATGGAACAATCCAGATCTTTTTCCCAAGCCCTTCTAAGACTTACATCTGTTGTTTTTAACCCAATGACATAAATGATACCATTTTGATGCCTTTGCAGTTAAGGGTGGAAGTACAAAAAAATTCTCTATGACATTTTTCTCCTGAGACAATTTTATTTTATCTTTCAGACAGTCTCTCATTTGTAAATATCGCCAAAAATGGCCGGGTCCTTCCAAATTAAACTTTACTGTCAAATCATTGAAGGACATAAACATGTTATCTTCATATAAGTCACTTATTAATGTTATGCCTTTTTGTGCCACTGTGGCCAATAAAGTGTTTGTTTACCTATTTTTATTTTGGGGTTGAGCCACAGTGGTGCATATTTTTGAAAGTATGGGGAGAGATTACAGCTCTTGCGAACCTCTTGCCACACCATTTTTGAAAACTTTAAAATAGGGTTGTCTACTCTATTCCCTTTATTGTCCGGTTTTTGAGCCAACACCTCAATGGGAGTGAATGGAAAAACCAGTTCACGTTCCATTAGAACCCAGTCTAGGTGCCCAGTGTTTACACAGCTTGAACATCTCAAATGAGATGCTATAATGTTTTATGTAGGGATAAACCTCCTTTTTGTCTCGGTTGGTACAGTCGACCAGGATTAATCCGGGGTCTACCACCATCCCAAAGAAAGTGTTTTATCATATTATCATATCTTGAGAAAAATTGAGGTGAAATACAAATTGGTATCATTCCAATGAAATAATTGATCAGAGGAGCTACTGCCATCTTTATCGTATTTACTTTGCCCCATAATGTCAAGTTCAGCTTGCTCCATTTCTCCAAATTAGTTTTAATCCTAGTTAGTAGTTTTCCTACATTATCATTCATAATCTCATCGACATTCAGATTAAGTGTTATTCCTAAGTATTCTGTCCCTTTTTCTAACACATTGAAATTGAAAGCTGATAATTTCCATTCTCATAGAAATTTGTTTTAAGCCTGAACAATGCATACTCTGCTTTCTTATTATAAATTTCATGAAGATTAAACTTCAATTGGCATATTTTTCTGAAGTTACTCTCTACATAATTTTCTGCTGATTATTTTTCCAAATGACTTATCTGTTTTACCAAAGTCTGTATTTTTTGTTTACTTTCTTTTGCCTTCTTTGAACTATATCCCAGACATTTGCCTCTAATAAAGGCCTTTAGGGTGTCCCATACAGTAGCCAATCTTTCTGTGGTCCCAATATTTACATCCCAAAAAAAGTTAATATCATCTTTTAATGCTGCCACGAATTGTTCATCCCGTAAAAGACTTGGGTTTAGTTTCCACCTGCCCCGATTATATTTCTCGACCTGTAAGTCTATATTTAGTTCTACTGGGGCATGATCTGATAATATGATCATACCTATATCACAGTTACCAGATCAGCGCTCAAACTAGATATTTAAAAATAATCAATTCGGGAATAACTTTTATGAGAATGTGAGTAAAACTTATATTCCCTTTCTAAAGGAAGTACTAGTCTCCAGATATCAACCAACCCGGCTTCCTCTTTAAAGATAGCTGCTGCAGATTTATTTTTTGTACTAGGGCCTAGATTTGCACCACTCCTATCCAAATACTGATCCGGAACCTGATTAAAATCTCCTCCCAGCACAATCTGGCCCTCAAAATCACCTAATATCTTAATTATTTTGGCAACAAAGTTGGGGTCTTCCCTATTTGGGGCATATATGTTACATAGTATTACTTTCGCACCATTTATAAGTACTTGGAGACATATTACTCGTCCTTCAGTATCTTTAAACTCTCGCAATGGTACAAAGTTGATTTTCTTATTAATAAGTATTATAGCTCCACGGCTTTTCCTAGATACAGAGTTATGAAACACCTTCCCAACCCAATCTCGTTTCATTTTCAGGGCTTCTGTTCCATTTTCAAAATGCGTTTCTTGTAAAAATGCTATATCTGCACTACGGGACTTAAGATAGCTTAGGACTTTTTTTCCTTTTAATTGGTGTACTACAACCATTGATATTCCACGTCACAATATTAGGGGCCTTTCAAAGCCAAACATCCACAAACGGCTCTGAAACGAGTCCTAACAGCCGACATACATAAGACTGCGTCTGGGCTGAGTTTTACTTTGAAAGGCTCAGGCCGGAAGCATCGTTCGTGTAGCTTGATGCTAACAGGTGGAAGATGTCGGCGTGTGTCGGGGTGCTGAAGCGCCGTCTCGGGGCTCGCTGTCCGGCTGGTTTCGCGTCACCGCTGCAGCCGCTGAGATGCCCGGGGGGCGGGCGGTGGGAGTCCAGCACGCGGACAGGTACGGCCCTGCTGCTAAAGCTAGCCGGCTAATATTAGCCGAACAGTCCAGGTATCCGGTGACAGGACCGATCGGCTCATCGGTAACAAACAGCTGCTCACATGATCAAACCTTGCAGGCCTGCACACAGGTAAATGAGCCTGCATGTTCTGAAGCGTGTTACACTGAAAGGACTTCTGAACTTTGACCTGCTGTTGGTCAAAGTCTGCTCAGGTGTGTGAAGCTGTCGCAGAGCAGCTCCACTTCCGCTGAGTCCAACAAACAGACCTCCCAGTCAGCGGGCTGGAAAAGCGGGAACGTTGGAATAATAAACACACAGCATGTTTTAAACGGTGATCCAGATATAATTAGGGTGTGCAATCATTTACATTAACGTAATTATGCTTTTAATTCACTAACCAGCCACTTTATTAGGTACACTTTAGGTGCACACTAATCAGCCTATCGCAAGGCAGCATTTCGGTGCATCATGATGAAGAGCAGATTTAGGGAACTTTGAGTGATTCAGGAACTGCTGCTCAGCTGAGATCTCCACACAGACATCCCTGAGCTCACATCCAGCAAGCAGCAGGTCTGGCAGGAAGTGACCTGCTGAGGTCAGAGGAGTGTCACTCCTGTGAGTACGAACAGGAAGCTGAGGCTGCAGCTCACACAGACTCACAAACAGACAGCAGAAGATGGAGAAAGGTTTCCTGCTGTGCTCGGCTCAGAGTTTAAAGCCTGGATCCGTCCTGCCTGTGTCAGAGCTCAGCCTGCTGCTGTGATGCTGTGGAGGTCTGTCAGCACCACCTGAGCGTCAGTGCTGCTGCTGACCTCAGCTTTGGGATGTGGAGGATAATGATGTCATGGTGATGTCATGTTAACGTGGACTAAAATCTAAGGAATGCTTTCACCCTGTTGCGTCTGTGACATGAGGAATTAAAGCAGCTCTGAACACGAACCAGAGAAGATGTGCAGGATGCAGAGGGGTCTGCTCCTCCTGCTTTATACTTCTGCTGCTGGGTCTGAGAACCCAGCTGCTGTCAGGCTGATCTGTGCTTTCACTTCACACTCAGAGTGAGTCCGGCCCGCAGGTGTGCCGCTCCTCCGGCCCGCAGGTGTGCCGCCTCTGGCCCACAGATATTTAACAAAGCTCAAACAGAGTTTCAGCTGTTCTCATCTGAAGCAGGAACACTGTCTACCTGTCAGGAACACCAAAGCTGACTCTCCTCCTCTTTGGGATTCTCGTCTGAATTTCAGGTGAAACCCTTCGGCCACTAGAGGGCGTCAGAGTCCTGGACCTGACCAGGTGAGTGTGAGCGCTGCAGTAACACTCTGAGTTGTTGGCAGTGTGGAGGCTCAGCACTAACGTGGATGTTCATGTTTGCAGAGTTCTGGCCGGGCCCTTCGCCTCCATGATCCTCGGAGACCTCGGAGCCCAGGTCATCAAAGTGGAGAGACCAGGTGAGCGCTGGGCCTCATTCCTGCCCCGCTGTGAGCAAAGCATTGTGGGATAGTGTTTGTGCGTTTTGTCAAACAGGTGCAGGTGACGACACCAGAGCCTGGGGTCCTCCGTTTGTGGCGTCAGAGAGCGCCTACTTCCTCAGCGTGAACCGGAACAAGAAGGTTGGTGTGTGAGCGCCGAGTCGGCACAAACACATTCATTAGAAACAGTTTAAGCATCAGCAGGACTCTGACAGGGTTCAGTCTGCAAACTGGAAGGTGTTCAGCTGTAAACAGAGCAAACATGTCAAACGTCAGCCTCCCTCGCTCACCTGACGCCGATGCTTCATCCGTGTTTGGGATAATTTGGGATGAACTGTGATTTCAGAGCATCGCCGTGGACCTGAAACATCCCAGAGGAGCACAGATCGTCCAGCAGGTACGACACAGTGACCAGGTCTCTGTTTCTGCCTCAGCCTGTTCCACTCTCTGGTTGTGTGTCAGCTCGCAGGAGTGTGTGACGTGCTGCTGGAAAACTACGTGCCGGGGAAACTCCGTCAGATGGGTTTGGGATACGAGCAGCTGAGCGGACTCAACCCTCGGCTCGTCTACTGCTCCATAACAGGTAACAGTTTTTAACAGGCTTACATGTGTTTCAGGCTCCACCCCCGTGTTTCCAGGTGTGTCTGAGGAACCTTTAAAGGAGTGGAAAAATGGAGCTGATAGGCTCCACCCACTCAAGTCACATGATTCAAGGACTGTGGAACGTCCAGTATTGATGGATTTAGGAGCTGTGGAAACACACCTCCACCTCCTGCAGTTCTCCCTCTGAGCCACTAGATGGGGTCAGACTCCACAGTATGAACAGACTTCCTGCCGGAGCGCTCTGCTTCCTGTCTGCAGGCTGTGATGTTACAGCACAGGAGAGGTGGAGGTGTGCTCTGCAGAGAAGAGAAGCAAGACAGAGCAGAGGTGGTGAAGGTGGAGGAGTTTAAATACCTGCGGTCAACCAGCCACAGAGAGCAGGCAGGGTGGAGACGAGTGTGACAGAAGGACAGCTCAGAGTCAGAGAGGTGGAGGTAGTCTGAGCACGTGCAGAGGGGGGAGGGTGGAGCTGCTCAGAGGAAGTTCATGGATGTCTGCAAACAGGAATCTGTGTGTCACTCTTCCACAGGGTGACTCTTCCTCTCCACACGAGCACTAATAAGGTTCACTCCACTCCTCGGGTGGAGTAAAGAGCTGTGACCCTGCAGGGTGGAGCGAGGATTTGGGCAGAGTGCCGTTAAAACCCGTCCGTCAGGAGAGCTGATGGAAAATGTGTTGAGAATAAACGAGCGACATAAACGATGAAGGAGTTTCATTCTCTCTGCTCCGCCTCCTTTCTTCTGTTTTCTTTCCATTTCCTGTTTGTGTCCTTTGCCCTCATTCCTCTCCGTGTCGCTCTCACTGCTCCAGCCCCTCCCGTCCTTTATTGAGGAGAAATGAACTACATTACCCAGGAGGCCTCATTAAGCTGCAGCAGCTGGATGCAGTGGGCAGATTTACGGCCTGGTTTCATCCTGAGCTTTCGGAGCGACGTCCTGGACGTTTGTCCCGCAGAGCAAAGAGCAGCAGCAGGTTTAAGTTCTGGTGTCACTTCCACAGGAAGAACCGGTCCACAGAGTGTGGATCTTCCATGTGTTCATCAGCTCGTTGACATTTAAACAGGCGCTTCACAAAACATGGACATAAAACCTGCATGTTCTTTAATGTCCAGCAGGGGGCGACTCATAGAGCAAAGCCTGACTGTACAGACATTTATGGGGAACAGAGTTTACTGCTCAGCTGATCTGAGGTCAGCAGACACTCCTGATGAGTTCACGGTCCGAGTCGCTGGTTTCAGGTGTGATCGAATGAAAAGCTCGACCCCACCAGAGACGACAAGGACAGATGTTTAGATGTGCACGTACGACGTGCACGGAGCCGCGCACTGACATCGTTCTCCTGCAGATGTTCGCTCAGCGAGCCTCGGAGGTCACGGCTGTTTCTCAGGCTGTCTGTGGCTGCTTATCATTTTCAAAGCCTTTGTGGGATTTTTCTTTGTTTCCTGATATAAAGCGAGCTTTGAGCTCGGACTGTTTAGGAAATCCGTCTTGTTGTTTAGTCACAGCTGCAGACTCAACATCAGCTGGAATGTGGTTTTCCTGTAAGAGGAGACGCCGAGAGGCCGATGGTTTGATTCCCTGCTGTGTTTTCACTCAGGTCAGAGAGAAACCAGACCACTGGCACCGAGGCAGTAATGTGTGTGTGTGTGTGTGTGTGTGTGTGTGTGTGTGTGTGTGTGTGTGCGCTCAGGCTACGGACAGACCGGTCCTCACGCTCAGAGTCCAGGGTACGACTCCATCGCCTCGGCAGTGTCAGGGATGATGCACGTCACCGGGCCCGAGGTCAGACTCAGACCGCACATGCTCAGTAACGTCCTGATCCTGCTGAGCATGAACAGGTTTCCATGTCTTTATAAATGAAACACTTGTGATGTTACTGTCAGACTCTGACCTGATGTCTGGCTTCACTTTACAGAACTTTGCGACGCGGCTGTAGAAATATCAGCACGCAGGAAGTGCAGAAAGTGAACTTCAAATTAAAATGTTAAACATTTTCTTGGCTCGTCATCGTAGCTGAGAATGTAAACACTGTGAAACAGTCTTCAGGATGCAGATATTTTATTTCAAAATAAAAGCCAGGCACATGAAACTTACGGTCATGAACAGATGAAGAATGTTGAAGCAGTTTAGAGTTCATCTTTGATTTACTAGTTACTGAATGAAACTTTATGTCCTCACAGTTCGACTCACCCCTCGTTTCTCTGTTTTCCTTCCAAGCAGCCAGAACTTCTTGTATTGTTTGAGTGGCTCCAGCTTCCTGAAGCTCTTTCAGTTCTTCTGTAAACATTGGCTGCTTCATGTCTCACCTTCAGTCCAGTCCTTGTACCCGAGCATTTTCCTCGAGGGACGACCAGTGTTGTGCACAGAACAGACACCAGGTTTAAATGTGACCTTTAGGCTCTTTACTCCCACACATCACTTGATCCTCTTTAGCAGAGTGAGGCCTGCAGACCTCTGACAGCCCTGTCCTACAGAAAGAGGCACAGATAGAAACAAACATGCTCACACCAAATGTTCAGCTTCAGGCTTGTTGTTGTGCAAACTCAGCGTTCCTTATTTCCTGTGTTTGTACTTTCATACATAATAATGAGACAGATTTCCTTAGTATATGAAACGAGGGGTGGCTCAAGACTTTTGCACAGGATTAATCTGGAATAAGTCCTTGTAAATCTCAGCACTGACAGGAAGTACTGACTCTGACGCGTTCACAGCACGTCAGCTTTCTGGATCATCTCCCATAATCCTCTGTTTCTGCTGGCAGGGCGGCGACCCGGTGCGTCCGGGAGTCGCCATGACGGACTTGGCGACGGGGCTGTACGCACACGGAGCTGTCATGGCCGCCCTGCTGCAACGGCAGAAGACGGGCAGAGGAGTTCACATCGACTGCAACCTGCTGTCATCACAGGTAAAACCACCTGACGATGAGCCAATCAGCTCTCAGTATTCTCCACAGGTGAATGCAGTGTAAGAGACGCCAGCAGACCAGCGGGTACTCCAGGTGCTGAGAGGAAGTGATGTACAGGTAGGGGCGCTGTGACGCTCAGCTGGCAGCTGAAACCCACTCAGGTGACACACAAGCTCAGTCAGAGCCTCAGGACACATCAGCTGAGCAGACGCTCTTACCTGCAGCAGGTACGGCGCTGTGTTCAGGGTCAGCTGGTAAATGAAAGCGCTGAGGCTGGCTGATCGATGGAGTGTTTGTGACGGTGCAGATAAGCAGTCGCTGCAGCTGTGTGTGGAGCAGGAAGGTGGAGGCATTGGAACAAGCCTGTGATTTATCCTGATCAGTTTAAACAGACGCGTCAGTGTTTCTCTGACTGTTTAAATGAAGCGAGCGATTCTTAATCCTGCAACCACCCGGACTCGGAGACGGACGGGACCCGCGTCCCGCTTGGACCCGGCACCTCCCGGGGTGCGTTTGATTTGCAGTGTCAGGACGCGCTGCTTGTCTGACAGTGTTGCTTTTAAAGGCATGTTTTATGTTTTCTGCATTCTCATTTTTCACCTCTCTGGCTGGGAAAGGCGCTGCGATACGACCGAGTTCAGCTCGTTTCAGGACTTTATGATCCTGCAGAGAGTCTCAGTCTGCAGTTTAGAAACAAACAGAAACAGCTGCTTCGGCCTGAAAGCGCTGGGCAGCTCAGCGGGGTCGTGTTTGGACAGAAAGGGACAGATGATGGGATGACATGTGGATAAAAGTTAACGTGTGTCTCGCTGAGTTTTGGTCCAGCATGCGGGACCGGAGCAGCGTCCGTGCTCCTCAGCACCGACCTGCCAAGAAGATTCATAAACGCCACCAACAAACACCAACCAGCATCCTGAGCTCCAACCTTTAAATTTAACCCATGAACAGAAATGTTACCTGAAGTCTGGACTCACGATGAAGGATGATGATGAATATGACTGCATACACCAATCTGTAGCACGCCTCCTGTGATTGGTTAACAAGGCTGTGAGGTTCTGATCCTTGAGGTCGAGTCTTGAGGCTGCTACAAATAAAATACCCACAATCCCCCTCTTAAATCCCACTGCATTCCTGTCTGAAGTGCTGCGACCACAGGCACGCCGGCCGCAGTGCGAACAATGAGCGCGCACAGCGCTCTGATCCGAGTCCGTGTGGAGCGTGTGAGCGTCGGGGGATGGAACCGCTACGAGCTGCCTGCAGGTCCCACAGAGCTTCAGGCGCAGGAGAGTCAAACAGTCTGAAGCTCAGCTTGAAGCAGTCGTGATGAGTCAGAGGAAGTCAGTGTCATGCAGAAGAATAGTTTGATAAGAAGATAAAAACCTGTCAGCACCCTGACCCGGGAGGGGAGGGGGGGGGTCATCCTTGAAGCTTCGTTTGTAGAAGAACAACAGAAACCGTCCACGAGCGTCTCTGCAGCGACTCGCTGCAGTTTGAGTCAGGTGATCGTGATGTGGCTGAAGTGCAGATTCTTTGATTCAAGTTGATGAAGGGAAATATTGAAGTAACCCTTCAGGTGTCTGTGAGCAGCACGCACACCTCACAGCATCATGTGACTCGCTGAGGCAGGCGTGTCGGTGAAGACGTTGGAGAAGCTTTAACCTCATCGTTACCTGCTGGTGAAATAAAGCTGACAGGGTCCAATAATTGTTTTATAAATTCATGACCCTGACTAACCGTGATGTTTCCAGACTCTGTGACCGTGTTAAACTCTGCAGCTTCATCATCATGTTTGTAAGTGTGATCCATGATGTGCCTTCATCACGCTGCTGATATTTGCAGCAGCTCTTCAGACGCTGAGGAGAGATCAGCTGTTAGCACCCGTGTGACCGGGCTCAGGTGTAACTGCCGCCTCTCTCTCTCTCAGGTTTCCTGTCTCAGCCATATTGCTGCTAACTACCTGAATGCGGGGAAGGAGGCGAGGCGCTGGGGGACGGCCCACGAGAGCATCGTACCTTACCAGGTAACACCTTCAACTGGCCACTATCTAACAATAACTTTATTGATATCACACCTGCAACACAGAGAAAAGACAGAAAAAACCTCAGGAAATATAACATTGAATCAACATTGTTAGATAATAAAAGAATAAAACGGTGACGTCAGGAAAACAGAAGAAAACTGAAAAGTGATGCACGAATATTAAATAATGATGAGCTGATCTCAGCTGTGACGACGGCAGCAGAACAAAAGGTTGAACTTTATAATGTGGCCAGTCAGTCCTTTCTAATTAAACAGAGTTTAAGTGTCATTGTTATACTTACAGGTGGCTGCACTAGAATCAGGTTTCATAGGAAACAAAGGAGTAATTATGGTGTGATTTCCTGCTGATTCAGCAGAAACATGTTTCTCTATCTTACATAGTAAGCATGTTGTAGTTCTCAGGGCCGTGTTGTGGTTTGACCTTTAACCTTTGGGAAAGGAGACAGACTCTACTGTAGGAACATTTAAAAGCAGCACTTACATGTAGCTACAGTAGAGTCACAAACCAGAGTTTACACAGACGTGTCCGCTCTTCTGTCACTGCGATGTTACGGTTTAACAGCGTTTAGCCTCTAAAACGCGCCTCAGCCGGATGATCGAAGCGCGTCATTGGTCGGCGAGCCGTGAGCCAGCTGACTGCGTGGCTCTTCTTCTCTGGTGTCTCTTTGAGCGTCTCTGCCAGCTGTAGTTCTGGTGTGTTTGACAGTTTCCCTCCAGGCTTGAGGAGACTCTGTGAGCTTGTTTGTTATTAACAGACTTTATTGCATCTGCGGGAGGAACACACGTCTCTGACGCCAGAAACTGCTTCAGACTAAGATGGGCTGAATTACACTTTCAGGGTCTCAGCGCGCGCTCTGACCTCCCTCTCTCCGGCCACACCCTCCAGCTTTGTTGGTGCAGATTTACGGATCTGAGAGTTTTCTCAGAGCTTCTAACATCCAAATATATGAGTCTCAGGCGTGAGCGTTGTCAGAGGAAGAGCTGTTTGAGATCTGAGGAAGTCCTGAGAGTTGACGTCAAGAGAAGGACGGAGCAGGACGAGCTTTGAGCCATAAATCAGATGGACAATTATCAAACAATTAGAAGTGATTAGTGTCATCTTAAACGTTTTGTGTCACACTGCCGCCTGGGTGGAAGTGATTTCCAGTTCTCCTTAAACCAACCACACAGGCGGCTCTGCTCGTGTTGCACTTTTTGTCTTAAACCACTTTAAAGGTCACAAACGTCTCTTCGAGGCCATCGCGTTGGTTCTTGATATCAACAGAGTGTGTCCATCCTCCAGGCTGTCACTGTAACAAATGACAGTTTCTTTTCCTGATCACATTTGAAGGTTCATAAAAGCATGAGAGAGCAGAGTTAGAGCTGTTTCTCTTCTCCCTCGGCTTCTCTGTGGTGTCGTTAAATGTGAATTATCTGTTTCTGCAAGGTTCAAAGCGCTCGGGTTTTGGCTGGATGGAAATCAGCAGATGCAGACTGAACACAAACCAACCCATGCAGGAAACCCTGATTAAAATATAAAACTAAATAAAGAGAAGCAGCAGCTGGAACCGCTCCTGCTTCACGGAGTTTCATATTGAACTGAAAACTGCTGTCAGGCAGCACAAAGTTGTTTCAGAGACTTTTAAAAATCATCTTTGAGCTGACAAGAATACTTAATGACGAGGTGGGCGTGGCAATGGGCAGATTTACAGGGAGGTTAAAGTAGATCCCGGACGAGCTCCCAAACTATGTTCTACATACTCCAACAGCATCAGCTCAGTCGGAGCATCTCCGATAATTAACCTGCTTGTAACCTGTAAGACCGGTCGGAGTGGGCACGCTCCGTTTTGCGTAACTATTTTTAAATCCCTGTACAACTGCAACCACGTAAGCTAGCGCAATAATTTTAGTTGCATATGAAACCAGAGGAGTTGTACTTACATCTTATGCCATCAGCTTGTGCTCGGTCACGGTTTCCTTCCACTTATAGCTTTGCAAAATTTCGTAAAAAGTATTTGCAGCAACATAAACATAATATTCCAGAAACACGCTTTGCCGATCCAATCAGCTGTTCATAACACCTCCTACGTTGGAATAGACGTCAGCGCGAACTATCGCATGTCCGCCATGACCTGCCCGAAACCGGAAGTGACATCATTTTCACGGAAAATGTAGTTTTTTACTTTCAGGGCCTTATAAGCCTACACTGGTGTTTTTATAAGTCATGCTTGACTTTTAGCTTTCCTGAATAGTTTCTGGGATGCTTAGAACTCAAACTGCACTGCTGGAAATAGTTTATTTTCATGCACACGCTGTTTTTTTGCAAATTAGCATTATAATATTTATTTTGGTTTTCCCTGCAGGGCATAAAAATTGGTGTATCTCAAAAATAAAACTTTGAAGACACTCAAAATAAATTTCCTGTGGCTAGAAACTATTTTGTGCAACTTTTTTGTATTTACAGTTTTGAGGAATAATACTGGAAATATATGCAAATAAAAAACAAAAATGATTTTCAATTTTTTTTTTGTAGTTTATTGCACTGTTTTGCAATTTATGTAGTTTCTATGAACTTAAAGCATAAATATTAATAAAATTGGGGCTATAATGGTTGTATTGATGTATAGCAACTTGAAATGCTCCCAAAAATGGCTCCACAGCATGTAAAATATAAAGATAAGCTCTGGCAGACTTGGCTCTGTGGTAGGTCTTAAAGTTACGATGCGTTGACTTGGATCAGGCTCGTGTCTCTTTAACATGTTGCAGTTCTTTGTATTGTTTTTGCTGTTTGACTACTTTTAAAAGTGTTTCTAAAACATGCCAGTTTTATTTTGTTTGCTTAGATTATTTTACTTTGCACGCAAAAACAAAATGATTTCACAAAAACTTATTAGCTTCCCTGATGCTAACGGTCAGCAGTGTGTCCTGTTTGCTGGGTAACAGCCTGCAGTCGTCTCCTGAGCGATCACACATCCTTCTATCTTCATCATTCCTCCCACCTCGATGAGATTCCCAGACACTGAATTGTCACCAGAACATACTGCCACCACTGTGCTTCACTGTGGGGATGCTCCTTTGGGTCGTAGCCCGTCTCCTTTCTCCAAACTCTGTGCACGAAGCTCTGCTTTCATCTGATCTGACCAAAGTACACTGCAGTCTGTAGAATCTGCATAGAGTCAGCATACCTCAGTGCGACATGCAGAAGTGGACTATTTCCCGGTCTGCAGCCTCTCAGTGCATCCCTGTGCGATTCCCGACTCGGCTGAGTCATCCACGAGTGTCTCTTCAGTGGTTCTGGGCTCTTTAGACTCACTCGTTTTGAAATCTTTGCTTGTTCTGCCCGGTCTGTTCTCGGTGACCGTCTTTGGATTTCTTGATGATGCTTCCCTCTGCAGTCCTTCACACATGGAAAAGCAGAGACAACTTTGTATGTTTGTCTTTGTGAGCATTAAATTCTTCTAAAGTCTAAACTGATTTCTTTGGCATGAAGCTTCCTCAGTGACGGCTCAAACCCTGGCTGGGGTTTGTAAAACTGGAAGATAACCCTCAGATTTAACATTCAGCTGTAACTGAACCTGACCCCACGCTCGGACCCTGCTCGATTCAGCTACCTGAAGCTTTAAAAGTCCTTAACTCTGATGTTTTCTTCATTTCGGGTTCCTGGAACTCATTTCAATAAAATGAACCATTAACTGTTATTACTGTCAGATAAGTAGAAATGAATAAATAAAGAACTTCTTCACATTCACTCGTGTTTTCTATCTGCCTTCAGTCTGCTTCACATTACTGACTCAGCCTGAGGGAGATGTTGCTGTTATTATGGAGGGTCATGACTCACATGTGGACGCGCGCACACACACACACACACACACACACACACACACACACACACACACACACACACACACACACACACACAGTGCGTGATGTTTTCTCCTTCCTCTGGCGGCTCGATTCTTGTGGTCACCATCTCTAACCAGCCGCAGCTTTATCGTCCGACACTGTTTTAATCCTCGTGTGAACCGGCTTACCCACAATGCAGCGTTCCCTCACCCTCCTCCCACCCCCAAAGCCGCCAGAGATGAAAGCGGAGCCGACGGGTTCTCCGGAGATCACGACAGTCGGAACAACAGAATTACTGGTGTTGTGGTTGCGGCTTTGCGAGGAAGATGTTAGAGCTGAAGAAGCCATCCGTTCCCCTGTCGACGCTTTTTAAGTTCACATCTGATTTCTGAGATGGTTCAATTTCAAAAAAACAGAGACATCCGCCGTGCCAGAGAGGAGACTTCAGAGGATCGGAGGTTGAACTCGGACGATAATCTGTCTGCAGACGAGTTGTCGGAGAAGCAGGACTTCCAGGACTACAGCTGCACTCAGAGCTACAGCGTGTCCACACTGTGGAATCTAATTCTGAATTTACATTTGTGTTAGGATAAAACTTCAAACAATGAAAACAAGACCGCACATGAGAGAAACTTCTAATAAATTCTAGTTCCCACAGACATGTTAAAGCACCATTTCTTACAGATAATCAATAAATACCAAAGTCAAAGGCGCCCAGACAAACATCGGCTGTCCCGGCTGGAGAGATGCACAGACATGATGCACTGGGCTGTGAAATAAACCGAACACACCGTGCTGGTTCAACACGGACCAATCCAAACCTGGGTGATGTTGACTCAGCACGCTGGATGGTGCTAGCAACCCCATCAGTTTCTTTTTGCCAATTAGCCTTGGAGACCACATGCGGTAGCATCTACCTGTCAGTCAAAGAGGCTACGCCCCCAATAATGCAAACTTTACACAACTTAAACAGGTGAGTAAACAAACCGTTTGTGTGTCAGGCTGTAAACGTGTTTATTTCTGCTCCAACGTTTTAAGGGGACTGGCTCGCTGCCGGAGCCTCTGGTGGACATCAGGGGAACTGCAGTGTTTGGCACATGTGCAGTAGATGAAAGCAGCGACTGTGGAACATCAGGAAATGTTCTGTGAAACTAAAACTAGCAGCTGGAGGAGCCTAAAAATTAAAAAATGTAAATATGTGAAGGTCAGCAGCTTCAGGTCTGCAGCCAGCAGGGGGCAGAAGCTGCCCGCTGCGACCTCTCTGAGGACTGTTTGAGGTTTTGTGGGTGAATGTCCCATCGCAGCCCTATGTGGACTGCATTACCCACAATTCCCTGGAGGGTGAGATGAAACCGAAGCAGCAGTGTGACTGAGGGGTTAGTGGTCTGAATGCACACACAGCGCAGCGGGACGTGGCCGCCGCCGAGTGTGTGCGCTGTGATGTATGACAGCTGCTCTGCTGCTGCTTTCATGTGGTGAAGAGTTTTTATTACAGGCACTTCAGTGAGCGAGGAAGAGGAGGAGAAGATGAGCGGGAGATTAGAGGAGGAGGAAGGCCTCCATTGGCTGGCCTTTTGAGGAGGTTTCCTCTGGTGGGCTTCGGGTTATTAACGCTGATCCTTCATGATCTCACCACCTTTTATTTAATCAGAGTAAATTTCATATCTACCTGCTGGGAAGCATCGACTTAATGAAAATGATTTTATTCCCCACAGTCGGCAGCACAAAGTCAGCGTCTGCTGCCTCAGAACTTCCTAAAGTCCTGGGAAGTTGTTCTACCGGAGTCCTGAAACTTATTTCTCTGATCGTGTGTTAGTGTATCGAGTTTCTGCTCTTCTCTCGTGCTCTGCCATCTGCAGCACAACACAAACATGTTGCACTGCAGTGAAAAAAACCTGACCTGAAGCACATCGATGTAGTTGTTGAAGTCCAGCTCAGTCAGCCAGGCTGTCCCAGCGTCTTTTCACTTTGAACCTGTGAAAAACAAAAGCTGAGCAGACGTGAAGTCAGAGGTGTCCCATCAGCTTTAAGGCGGTGCCCACATCACTCATGCAGTAACCTGTGAAGAGATGGAGGGGAGCGCGTTCAACTTCCGCACAAGAGAAAACACGTTCATATTTATGTTGGAGGAAGTCTAGCTGCAGTAATATTCATGCTTCATCATTTTGGATTATACACAAGCTGAGCAGAGGTATGGACGTGAATGTAAGAGCCTGTCAGAGGTTAGACGTGTGCGGTTGTGAGCGTGCTGTCAGAGGTTTCTATCAGACTGAAACGTCGCTGTGTTCATGTTGTGTGTTTTTCTTTCAGGGCTTCAAAACCAAAGACGGGCACATCGTTGTGGCTGCGGGCAATGAAAAGCAGTTTGTCCGAGTCTGCCAGGTGAGTCCGTTTACCTGTACGGACACAGACATGCTACCACGGAAACAGCTGGCTTGAAGAATGTTTCTCCCACTCACTCTCTGCTGTCTGTGGAAATCTGCAGGTCATGGAGCTGACGGAGCTGACGGAGGAGCCCAAGTACAAAAGCAACAAGCTGAGAGTCGAGAACCGCAAACAGCTGCTGCACACACTGTCACAGAGGTACACACACACACACACATACGCACACACACACTGTCACAGAGGTACACACACACACACACTGTCACAGAGGTACACACACACGCACGCACACACACACATACGCACACACACACACTGTCAGAGAGGTACACACGCACACACACACTGTCACAGAGGTACACACACACACACACACACACACATACGCACACACACACTGTCACAGAGGTACACACACACACACACACTGTTACAGAGGTACACACACACACGCACACACACACACTGTCACAGAGGTACACACACGCGCGCGCACACACACACATACGCACACACACACTGTCAGAGAGGTACACACGCACACACACACTGTCACAGAGGTACACACACACACACACACTGTCACAGAGGTACACACACACACACACACTGTTACAGAGGTACACACACACACGCACACACACACACTGTCACAGAGGTACACACACACGCGCGCACACACACACATACGCACACACACACACTGTCAGAGAGGTACACACGCACACACACACTGTCACAGAGGTACACACACACACACACACACACTGTCAGAGAGGTACGCACACACGCACACACACACTGTCACAGAGGTACACACACGCACACACACACACATACGCACGCACACACTGTCACAGAGGTACACACACACACACACACTGTCACAGAGGTACACACACGCGCACACACACACATACGCACACACACACTGTCACAGAGGTACACACACATACGCACACACACACTGTCACAGAGGTACACACGCACACACACACTGTCACAGAGGTACGCACACACGCACACACACACTGTCACAGAGGTACACACGCACACACACACTGTCACAGAGGTACACACACACACGCACACACACACTGTCACAGAGGTACACACACGCGCACACACACACATACGCACACACACACTGTCACAGAGGTACACACACGCGCACACACACACATACGCACACACACACTGTCACAGAGGTACACACACACACACTGTCACAAAGGTACGCACACACGCACACACACACTGTCACAGAGGTACACACACGCGCACACACACACATACGCACACACACACTGTCACAGAGGTACACACACACACACTGTCACAGAGGTACACACACACACGCACACACACACTGTCACAGAGGTACACACACGCGCACACACACACATACGCACACACACACTGTCACAGAGGTACACACGCATACACACACTGTCACACACACACTGTCACAGAGGTACGCACACACGCACACACACACTGTCACAGAGGTACGCACACACACACACACACTGTCACAGAGTACACACGCACACACACACTGTCACAGAGGTACGCACACACACACACACACACTGTCACAGAGGTACACACGCACACACACACTGTCACAGAGGTACGCACACACGCACACACACACTGTCACAGAGGTACACACACACACACTGTCACAGAGGTACACACACACACACGCACACACACACTGTCACAGAGGTACACACACACACACTGTCACAGAGGTACACACACGCGCACACACACTGTCACAGAGGTACACACACGCGCACACACACACATACGCACACACACACTGTCACAGAGGTACACACACACACACTGTCACAGAGGTACACACACGCGCACACACACACATACGCACACACACACTGTCACAGAGGTACACACGCACACACACACTGTCACAGAGGTACACACACACACACTGTCACAGAGGTACGCACACACGCACACACACACTGTCACAGAGGTACACACACGCGCACACACACACATACGCACACACACACTGTCACAGAGGTACACACGCACACACACACTGTCAGAGAGGTACGCACACACGCACGCACACACTGTCACAGAGGTACGCACACACTGTCACAGAGGTACACACACACACACACACTGTCACAGAGGTACACACACGCGCACACACACACATACGCACACACACACTGTCACAGAGGTACACACGCACACACACACTGTCACAGAGGTACGCACACGCGCACACACACACACACACACGCACACTGTCACAGAGGTACACACACACACACACACACACACACACACACACACTGTCACAGAGGTACACACACGCGCACACACACACACACACACGCACACTGTCACAGAGGTACACACACACACACACACACTGTCACAGAGGTACACACACGCGCACACACACACACTGTCACAGAGGTACACACACACTGGGAGGTGTCTGTCAGGTGTCTCTTCCTGTTGAAAAAGAGTTCTTCTTCCACGTGGTTGCCAAGTTGTTCACTGTCATCATCATCGGGAGCCCTGAGGTCCTTGGTAAATGGTAAATGGCCTGTATTTATATAGCGCCTTACTAGTCCCTAAGGACCCCAAAGCGCTTTACATATCCAGTCATCCACCCATCCACACACTGGTGATGGCAGCTACATTGTAGCCACAGCCACCCTGGGGCGCACTGACAGAGGCGAGGCTGCCGGACACTGGCGCCACCGGACCCTCTGACCACCACCAGTAGGCAACGGGTGAAGTGTCTTGCCCAAGGACACAACGACCGAGACTGTCCAAGCTGGGGCTCAAACCGGCAACCTTCCGATTACAAGACGAACTCCCAACTCTTGAGCCACGATCGGCCTAGAACAGTGATGAAGAGACAGGACAGTTTGACCAATCAGAACATGTTTTAGGTAAACGTTATCCTCTTCATCTGTCTGTCAGGTTCCTGCAGGAGACCACGGCTGATTGGCTGAAGAAGTTCAAGGGCTCAGGTGTTCCAGTTGGGCCAATCAACAGCATTCAAGAAGTGTTCTCCGAGCCACAGGTCAGTGACGACACTCATCCTCCGTCTGTGGTTGAGTGGAGTAGGGCTGGGCAATATGGCCTAAAATCCATATCACGGTATAATTTGAAGCATGTGCTGTAACGATATATATCGCAATATATTCTTTTCTTGTGTGTAACATATTTAACACACTATAAGGCACACTTAAAATCCTTTAATTTTCTCAAAAATCGACAGAGCGCCTTATGTATGAATTCTGGTTGTGCTTACTGACCTCGAACCGATTTTATGTGCTACACGGCGCTCACAAATCTGTCAAAAAATATTTACGACTTTGCTAAGCTACGAAGCCGCACCGCTTGATGGATTGTTGGACCATTACAGCTACCGTAGTCAGGAGCCTTGCGGAGTAACCTGGGTCCTAAACTCCGTCAGGTTCAGGTCCCAAAGCCAAACGAACACTGCAGCATCACTGAGAGTTAAAAACTGTCTAAATTCTTTCATCTTTAATACAATGATCAGCGTTGCAGCTTTACCAGGTGTAACAATTAAGTTTAACTTCCAGGCATCCATGAAAACAGGATTCATTAAATTTAACGGAGTTAGAAGTTAGCAGGAAGTTAGCTCGCTAGCTTCCACCTAAACATGATATAGCATGTTCTGACTGAGAGATTTGTGAAAAATTCAAACGTACAGCTCTGCTGTCACTTCAAACATGGATGAAGACAGAAAACTAAACAGCAGTGACGTTTGTAGGGTTACTGAAGTTGGGCTAGCTGGTAGATAATGATGTGCTATGTGAGCGCTAGCTACACAGCTATGTTAGCATAATAAACACAGTGAAGCTGGAGGATGAACGCTAACTTTTTTCCACTCGATAAAAGTTAACGTGAAGGTTCCTGATGGTTAGAGACAAATGCAATCGCATGGCAGGATGCTGTAAACGGACCAAACTTCAGTCAGAACAACTGAGATAATCCATCCACAATAC